TTTTTTTTTTTTTGTGCTTTCTCCATTACATCGACCCTAGTTCAATGATTTTTTTTTTTTTTGGTAATTGAAACCCTTATTTTTGTTGCTTCCCCAATGAAACGTGAAATTTGCACACAAAATTTTGATGATTTGCAGAATTTGCAGAAACAGTCGATTGTAAGCATAGAGTAGGCAAACATATATATTTTCATAGGGCCAGAACCCCCAATCAGGCCAAAAAAATTCGATTCCTGAAATTCGATTCTTCGCGCACGTATTGGAATTAGGGCCAAATTTTTTTTTGAAGATGGAGCTATTTGGGGAGAAGAATGAACTAATTTCTGCAGAAATTGATTTTGTACAAACATAAGGGTAATTTAGTATTTGGATTGTCTAACATGCCAATTAATCCATCGAAGTAAAGATGGGATTCATTTATGTAAATCCCAACCTGAAAAGTAAACAAGAGATTAATTGCTGACATGTAAAGTTGTCTTGGATAATTTGTCTTATCCCATCCTACAAAGTAAATGACCCCTATGTGTACTTATACCCCATCACACATATCTATACGTGTATAACACCATAATAAAAGCTTGAGACATGTCAATAAATACATAATAGTAACATCAGTTACATAAGGTGTTGAAAAATCAAACCAAAACAAATAAGTAAAGACTTTAATAATAAAGGACAGCCAAAAAGAGTTTTTAATAAAAGAAAATGATGAAAATAAAAACAAGTACATAAAGAGTTAAAAGGACAGTAAAGAAAAACTGAGATTACTTTTTTTATTTTATGTACAATAAAGATAGATTAAAACAAATAAATAAATAAAAAAAAAAGAAAAAAACTGAAAAAGAGATAGCCTATAGGCAGCCAACTTATTCGGCAGCAGCAAATGCTGCTTAGAAAATATATTTTGTTACCTTTTATTAAATAAAATAACTCCTCCCCAAGCAGTCCCTGTAGTTGCAAAAGGAAATTGTACCTTTTCTAATTTTTTAAGTTCAAAGTGATATCGGAAATAAAAAGAGCACAAAACACTGGACGAGAGAGAGAGAATAGAGAACAGGAAAGAGGACAAAAGGAAGAGAGAAAATGAGAAATAATGGTTGACGGAGGTTGAATCGTCGGAGCACAGTTTGCCGAAGGGCTCTCTTCACCTTTCATTTTCTCACAGCAGCAATTATG